ACATTCCCATTTCTTTCTTTCTTTCTCTCTTTTTCACCACTTTCTACCACCACATACAAAAAACTTATGCCCTGGGCTGGAGGACTAGCTTAGTGGTAGAGGGCTTGCCTCATTTGCTTGAGGCCCTGGGTTTGATCCCTAGCACTGAAAAAAACAACCCTGCATTTAGTTGAATTCATGGCTGTTGAATATAACAGCAATGGTGGAAACTTACTGTGAAGGGATTGCTTCTTTTTTTGGTGGGTGGGTACCAGGGATTGAACTCAGCCTGCGAGGGAAAGAAACATCAATCTGGCGTCAACAGAAATGTCTGTCAATCAGTGGGATCTCCTGACTAATGCCTGTCAATCAGCAGGACCCTGTGGCCAATCCTGGAGTTCAGCCAACTCCTCTGACCAACTCCAACAGGACCCGGGACTCTAAAAATACCTTTTCCTGTCCCAAGCCCTACCCTTCCTGCCATGAGCCCCATAAAATCCCAGTCCGGTTGAGCTCCCATGTTTCTCCTCAGACCCTTCTGAGGTTTTTCCTCAGACCCTTCTCCTGTCCACTGTGTCAGTCTCGTCTGATGAGTTCCGCCTGGGAGTGATATTTCAAATAAAGCCTCATTTGGTGGTCTTTTTAAATCTGCCTACTTTGGTCGCTGCCCTCCTCTCCTCGACTGATCTTATATTGGGCACTCAACCAGTGACACACATCCCCAGCTCTATTAGGTATTTTATTTAGAGATAGGGTCCGAGTTGCTTAGCACCTCGCTTTTGCTGAGGCTGACTCTCGGTCTTCCTGTCAGCCTATGGAGCCCCTGAGATTATAGGCGTGTAATCCACTGTGCCCAGCTGGGATTGCTTCTTAAAATAAAAACAGACCATGAGGGTTCAGGAGAACCTGGCACTGTCACCTTGAGTTTTAGCTCACTCTCGAATCTCTTCATTAGTTTTCTATTTCATGCTGGTATCCAGCATGGTTCTTTCTTCAAATCATGGCCTCAGTGAGCCTAGGTAGAACCCATGGCAGCATAGTGGAGGCAATAGCCTGGTTTTGGTGTTGTGAGGGATTAGGTCGAATTCAAGTATTGCAAACTTCTCAATCTAGGCAGAAGGACTGAGTTAAAAGCCAGCCTTAGCAATTTAGCAAGACCCAAACCAAGCAACTTAGTGAGACTCTGTCTCAAAAAATTAAAAAGGACTGGGGATACAGCTCAGTGGTTAAGTACCTCTGAGTTCAATCCCCCCCCCCCAAACAGATCAGCTTACAGACAGCTATGATATAACTGAGGATTCTTCTAGCACCCAAGGGTGGATATAACTTATGAAGTACTTTGGGTATTGTATGTCGTTTTGACCTTCATCTTCAAGGTGCTACTTATGACCCATGTGAAAACAATCTACACAGATGCTTAAGTGCCAGACCTGTCTGTTTAAAAAATCTTTTCAAGGATCAGGGTATAAAAATATTTAGAAACAAAGAACAAAAAACAAACTTTAATGGCCATGTAGACGCACAGCATTTTCATGCTCACTGGGTTAAAGTCCTGGAGAGTAGCTTCCAAACCAGGCTGCTCTGTACTACAGATATATAGGATTGAATGGAAGTGGAGGAGGAAGCTGTTGTCTATACCTGGATTAGTGTTTTAAGGAAAGTTATTAAGAATCAAGGAGTTAATGCCTTTTGAACACCTACCTTTGAGAAGCAGCGTAACAGACATTATATGTCTAGACCTATTATAGAGCCAGATTTGCCTGGGCTCAAAGTTCAGTTCACCCATTGATAGATGAGGATCATTAAGTTATTTATCTACCTCTGTGCCTCATTTTCTTTCTTTCGTTTTGGTACTGGGGATTGAATCCAGGGGTGCTTAACAATATCCCCAGTCCTTTTTATTTTTCATTTTGAGACAGGATCTCACTATGTTGCCTGTCGCCTTGCTAAGTTACTGAGTCTCAGCCTTCCCAGCTACTGGGATTATAGATATACACTATCATGCCTGGCTCTGTGCCTCATTTTCTTCACCTGCAAAATTGAGAAAATAATAAGACCTACTTCAGGATTATAGTGAGATTTCAGTGATCTAGTGAAGTGCTGAGAAAAGTGCTTTTACACCTAAGTGTTAGTTGTTCACGAATTGACTTATCATTGTTATTTGTTAGTATCATTACTATTCCTTGCCAGGCACTTTATATTTGTTACATTTTTGCTCCTTCTAACATCCCTTGGAAATGAATAATATCCTCACTTTGCAGATGTTAAAGCAGATGATAACTTAGTTTGATTCCTCAGTTGTGAGACCTCTAAAATCTACTCTATCATGATTTCTTTCTAAAAGGTAATGTTGAGAATTAAAATGATTTTCTTTTCGGTCTTGTTTTAGGAAACCATTTCTGATAATTGTGTGGTGATTTTCTCAAAAACATCCTGTTCTTACTGTACAATGGCAAAAAATATTTTCCGTGACATGAATGTTAATTATAAAGCAGTGGAATTGGACATGCTTGAATATGGGAGCCAGTTTCAAGATGCTCTTTATAAAATGACTGGAGAAAGAACTGTGAGTATATCCTCAGCTATGCTGTTGTAATAGATGGTAACTTGGTTCACCTAGAGACTAGACTTTGTATTAGAAAAAGGAAGCCAGAAGTTCTCTGAAGATACCATCCACCATGCGGCCTGCGTATTGGTTTCATTAATGAGGTTTTTGGCATAAAAGTTAGCTAGCAGAGATCGAAATAAAACACACAGACTCAGTTACCTTTTCTTATGACCAGGTCCGAGACGGCTCCCCTCTCTGGCTCCAATCTCGAACCACACCCATAGGGCAGCAAGGATTACTCAGGGCTAGCAGGAGAGAGAGCGAGCGAGCACGCCAGGGAGTAGCCTTTTATTGGGGAACAAGAAATTCAGGGGAGAATTCCATCCAATGAAGGTTGAGGGGGGGCCGCACTCCAAGGTCAGGGTCAGTGATTGGGCCCCCGGGGTCAGTGGTCAGTCACACCCCCACACGGACGGGTTCTCATCAGGAGAGGGCCGGGAAAGTTCCGACACAGCCAGAACGCCTCAGACCCAAACCGGGAGTCGCCCAATCACGCGTGAGAATGGCTCTCCACAATACCAAGAAATGGCAAATTTGGAAACCAGAGTTTTATAATAGGGAAAAGCAGAGTTGTTTTTTATTTTTACTGTGTGTGTGCTTGCTTGGGCACTGGGATTACAGGGGATGATGGTGTTGTTATAAGGACTTATGTAGGGTTTTTAAGGTCCTCTTTCAAGATAAAGATGTTAAAGAGGGGTCATTCTTTAGTGACTGTGCAAATAGGAATTCTTTTCTCTTCCATGTTTATGGATTTTTCTAATATGCAACATAAGAACTGTGTTGCTATTTTCCTCTTTTATATTTGCATGGAAGTTTATGGTATATGTTCCCCCTTTAGTGAATATGTTAAGAAAAGACTACTTAAACACTATAAATACTTTTATTTTTGTGTTACATACCATAGTGATTATGAGGAAGGCCTTTAGAATCAGATTTTCCTGGATTTGAATCTCCGATCATTTCATTTACTAAGATTGTCATCTTGGGCACATTCTTCCTCATTTTCCTCCAAAATCAGGCTAAAAACTAGTACCCAAGTATGAGTGTCAGCAAGTATCAGAAATGATTTCATAATTCTAACAATAAGTTATGCCTAATTTATCTTTTATTTATCTAACAGGTTCCAAGAATATTTGTCAATGGAACTTTTATTGGAGGTGCAACTGATACTCATAGGCTTCATAAAGAAGGGAAGTTGCTACCACTAGTTCATCAGTGTTATTTAAAAAAGAAGAGAGAATTTCAGTAATGTAGGTACTTACCATGACTAGTAAATGTTAATGTGATAATACCTGATAATGCCTTTTAAATATTTGAGGATGTTTTAAATGTGAATTATCTTCATGATTAAAAATAATGAAAAATAAATGGCTGTGGACACCTCATCTTCTTACTTGCCAATTCTTGAGGAGGAGATGATATTTATAACCAAAGGGGTAGTTATATCATAAGATAAGAATGCATTTAATTAGGAATTTTTATATGAATTTTACAGCCAAGAGCTAGGAGATAAGCATTTGAAATTATTCCCTATAGCATTCAGGAGTTAACTCCTTACCTTGTGTAGCTTTTAGTAGTAAGGACTGATGTGAGTTTCTTTCAAATTTAAGGTTCTCACTAATAACAGTTGTGAAACAGGTAGGGATATCTTCTACCATATTGTGTAAAGCCTTCACATTCTACTTCTAGAGCAATGTATGTCATATACATTAAAATTCAATGTCTTATACATTAAAATTCATAGAATGGAATGAATTTTACCTTGGGGAAACCAAATGATTCATTTAATTACTTGATAGTTCCAGGGAACAGAAATTAAATGGAGGAAGATTTCAGCATTGTATAAAGATGAACTTTTTGAAAACAGTTCACAAGTGAACCCAGGGGAACTTTACTATTGAGCTACATCCCTAGTTTTTTTGTTTTTATTTTGAGACAAGGTTTTGTTAAATTGTCTAGGCTGGCCTCAAACTTGAATCATCCTGCCTCAGGCTCCCTAGTTCCAGGAATTAAACGTATGTGCCAATGTACTTGGCTCTTGATTTTAAATACTGAACTAATTATCCAAATACTTGAAGTTTTGCTGAGTATATTCTGATGCAACTTGTTCTCACTCTTTGGTATTATCCTATACCTCAGACCTGATAACTTTTAAGGAAAGTTTTATAGGAATTGAGATAATTTCTATAAATTGACACTGACACAAAATGTTTTTATTTACCTAGTTCAGTTTTTTTTTTGTTGGCATAACTCAAAAACAAGTTTTAAGAATTTGCATTTTCACTAAATCAAATTGTCTTGATCCTGTAATAGATCTCTACTGGAAAAGAATCCCCAACCATACATACTTTACCCACTGAGCTATATCCCTAACCTAAATTTCTTATTTTTAAAAAATAAACATAAACAGACGTTTTTCTGATGTGCATAGTATTTATTTGGTACCCCTATCAATTTCTACAATAAACAGATCAGAAGCAGTTCACATAGTGCCCACCTATACTTCACATCTAAATGAATTACTAGTTGAGCATCTAATCCAAAATCCAAAATCTGAAATGCTCCAGAACTGGACACTTTGTGGGCCCTGACATGATACCACAAATGAAAAACTCCATACTTGACCTCATGTGGAGGTCACAGTCAAATGCAGGTACATTAAAAATATTTTATAAAATCACCTTCAGGCTATGTATATAGAATATCCCCCAAATATTATGTATATGTATATGCAAATATTCCAAAATCTGAAAAATTCCAAACACTTCTGTGTTCTAAGCATGTCAGATAATGGATACTCAACCTATATTTAGTAGGGTATTTTGCAAGGCTGGAAAGAAGTAGTCAAGATTTTTCACCATAGTGGTGAAAACTTTAATCATGAAATAAATTTAATCATAAGCACATTTATCCATTCCCAATCAGAAAACAGCAAAATTACATTAGATGTATTATTTACAGTGAAAACTTGGAAGACTTGACAAAGCATCTATCAATAATCTTAGAAAACTCCGCGTGCCCCCATTAAGGGTTTTCCTTAGAAATGAAATAAACACCAAACATGTTTATGAAACAGCAAACTTTATATACCTTTAAGCACCAGCTTGACAATTTATTCTTTCGGTTTTATAAAATATTCCTGCTTTGAAAGGCAAAGTGAATGTAAAAATGCAAATGTAATTAAATCACTGACCTGGATATTATTATTGCAATGGTTTCAATGTTTTAATACTATATTCACTTCTTTGAATTTGTTTGTAGGCTTGAAACAAAATATTTGCCTTCTGTCTCAAAATATTCCCTTAAAAATTAATCATTTTTGGAATTGTACAACTGTATTTGTCATTCATACTGTTAAATATATGAACTTGGTCCATGGAGGTCATGTTGTAGTCATAAAACCCAGCTTTTTGGATAACTGGTTATACAAAACAATAAAAAATATTAAACTACCATAAAATATTACTGATGTTAACAGTTACATATGTATAACACATCAGTGTACCCAGATTATCCTATTAATGTGTTTAAATTACTAATGTACAATCAGGTTTTAAACTTAGCAGTTAAATTCCCATTCATTATGTAAAATTAAAAGCTCTAGAAAGACTCTTTGAATTCTGTACTTCAGAAACATTATAACACTATTAAGGCATTACTTAATAAACAGACCCCAAAGAAAGTAACTAGTATGTTTGTATAGGAGAGCTAGTCATATTTTAAGGCAGTCAAAAGGGTCATTTTTCACTTTAAGGCTCTTATATATTTAAATTTATTTTATGCAGACGTTAGTCTGAATAATTTAAATATTTATCAAGTGACCAATTAGGGAACTCAAAGCCTTTAATAAAGTAAATGGGCAGTTTGGAATTAGATTATAACATTCCCTACTCCCCCCCCCCCCCTTAAAAGATTATTCCATATATCTATCTCATCCCTTTGGACAATTTCTTCATACTCACAAGTTGGCAATAAAAATAAGAAAATTGAACTCAAACACATTACAAAATAAAACCTAATAAGTATTTTAACAGAAGTTTAAGTAATGTTTGTTTTAATACAGCATTCCAACAATTTTATATTTAACTTCATTCACTATCCTTGACAGTCTAAATGTTTATTAAGTGAAACCAGTAGAAATGTTAACTAATTTACTATTTGGTTAAGTATAGATTCTGCTAACTTGTGAAGTGCAGAAAATTAAACATTTTAAAATTAAAAACTACATGTCACTTGTGTTCGTAAAGTAAATATGCATGGAAGGACTAAGTAAAATAGAAGCAAAAGGAAAAAACTCTTCAGAATCAGAAACAACCTTTTGTGGATTTTTATTCACCTTAATTTCAGTAACAGAACCCTACAATATATTCACTTTTCTATCACTTTCCTGTATACCTTGGTATTTTCAGGGATTAGGAAAATGTGCCATTTATTATAACTTTATTGAAAAAGTATGATTAGCTACATTAGTTTTCTACATAAAAATATTATCTTAGAATTAACTTTTTAAAGTAAATTCCATAATTTTTCAGAAAAGCAAATAAAAATTTACCAATTAAAAAGCATTTAATTCCAATACAGGTTATTTACAAGGCTTTTTATGCTGTTGTGTTTGTGGCGAGGGATGAGGGAGTTTACTCAGTGAAATACTTAATATGAACATGAGATATGGTATTTTATTAAAGACTAGTTAGTTATTTTTCTGTTTTGGTACCAGGGATTGAACCCAGAGCACTGTACCACCAAGCTATATTACCAGCTCTTTTTGTTTGAGATAGGGTCTTGCCAAGTTTAGAGTAACAGGGAATTTGCCTAGTTGCTAAGGCTAGCTTAGAACTTTTGATCCTCCTCTCAGCATCCCAAGTCACTGGGATTATAGGTGTGTGCCACTACACTTGGCTAGAGTAGTTAACTATTTTCTGACGAGTGCTTGTATACTAGAGCAGTTCCCTTCAACACAGGTAGGTACATCTACAAACAAATGAAGGGTCAATCACTGATATTAGTGAAAGACCACACAATTTCTGGAAACATCTAATACCTTTTTAATTATATAACTTGATTTGGAAAGAGAATATACCAATCTTGTTATTGCTTGAAGAGACCTGCCATTATAAATTTGAAAAAAATATGACCTTAAATCTGTATGAAACAAAAAGCAGTCTAAAAGACATTCATCTCTCTTAAATTTGGTTTACTTTCCTGTCATTTAATTACCCAGGTAGATAATGCTAGAAAAAAAAGATGTTGAAAATGTTAGAAGAAATGAATTTTAAAAGGGGGGGGGGGAAGGTATAAAAGGAATTTCCACTAAATAAGATAAAGGTGAAGACATCGGGCAAACACTAAGTGAAATCCATACAATATATAGTAATTTCATAGCTTAACATTTTCTTAGTCTTTCTTGTGCATGTTTATATTGAGGGTATATGACAGTGCCTTAAATCACCCCAACCTGTGGTATTAAGACTAGACTTCAGTTTTTAAACTTCAGTTTATGTTGTCAGACCCTCAAATTTAATCAGTAATTCTGCCTTATCTTTCCAAAACTTATACATATATTTTTGCAAAATGTAGGGAAAAAAAAAGAACCCAATAAACGGTATTTCATCATTTGTAGACTTATTATTTTAAAAGCTCATGAAAATGTGTTATATTATCCCCTTAGATATAGTTTTATCATCTATCCAAGAGGCTGTTAGTGTTAGAATATATTTCTTCCTTCTTTATCAGAGAGTTGTGAATTCTTAGTCAATATATTATCTGTGAAAATCTTTCTTCTGCATTTTTCCATTCTGAACAGCAATGGTTAAAAAAATTACTTGGCCTAATGAACTAGTTTTCTAAAACATTTTAATCCTTCAAAACTCATATCTATTAACAAGAATATTTTTAATTAAAAAAGTTCTAACTAGTATTGTGAGCCTTTTAATTTTTAAATAATCAATCATTGATTCTTTCGTTATCCAAGCATCAAATGTTACTTTATGAAAACTGCAAGAACAGAATAGGTTGAGTCACAACCACACAGTTAAGTGAGAAAGCAAAAGAGGTTCCAATGGGGCAACACTAAATTTCATTCACAACCATATGGACACACTAACATTCTCTTGAAATAGTTATTTAGCTAATGTTTTAATAAATAGAATTTCCAAAGAATTTCAACTAATAAGAAAAGGTGAGACTGTAAATTCATTTTTTATTTTACTAGTTACAACTATATCTTGGAAATATGTCATTACCTAGGACTCTAACAACTGAGTTGTATCCCCAGCCCAGGACTGTTTTTAAAAGCAGTATTTTCCCCAATATTAATGTAACAGTAATCCTAGAAGTAATTCAGAAAATAAAGCTTGTTTATCACTCAAATACATTCTATTTATAATGAGGTAAAGTCTTACTTTTTTCTATAGGACTGTTATATAGCAACATAGCTTATTAAAACAATAATTGTGCTTGAGGATTACTATGAATTAAAAATGATAATGTTTACATCTGTTTTTCTACTCTTAAAGCAATCATGTATATACATTTCCTTAAAAGTTTTCAATAATTCTATTTTCTGAGAATAATTCTATTCTAAGTGAATGTGTTCCCACGATGTGGGGTGTGAAAAGTGTAATGGGAATGAAGAGACCAAGATTTGTAGATCACTTATAGTGTTAGAGAATCAAATTCTGTTTTGAACCTTGGGTCTCCAGATGAAATTCAAAAGTTAGTTTTTAAGTTTCTAAGGTATCATTCAAGCTCTAAAGTGTCATAATTTGAAAGTAAAATTATTCTCTGGTATTTTCTTTCAGTTTTCCTTTCATATTTGTCTTTCTTAAATCTTACTCTAATCCATTTAATTAGACCTATCTAAATACTTCAAAAAGTCTCCTCTAATACATTTTTCTGATGGGTTTAAAATTAGCTCCTATATTTGTATGAAAGCTCTATCTAAATAGCACATAACTGAAGTTAAGTAAACATTTATATTATATTCTATTTAACAGTTCTATTAGGAATAAAAAATCATATTATAATTTTTAATTTTTGAAGATCTTGGGTCCTTCAAATTTGATCTGAACATAATACTGTATCAAAAGTGGCTGTTAAATCCATTCCATGCTTGATAGAGGGTTAAAACCAGAAAAACATCAGAAATGATGTGTATCTGGAGTGGGAGGTACAACTAGCTTTGTGGACCAAAAATCTCTTAGGTAAATAACTGCTACTAATTTTAAAAACTGCTATTAGTTGTCTTGCAGGAATGGCTAAATATCAAAGCCAGCATTAATATGCCAAATACATTTGAAAAGAACATTTTCTTATTGTTCCCAAAGCCCCAAACTACTATGAAAATAGAAGAAATACATATTCAAATCCTCACACTATTAAAGTCACCTTGCCTCCAAAACATAAAATCTCTAATTCCCAAGCACATAGGTGGTTATAATTTATGTTTACTATTGTTTTACATTTATCATAAGAGCTTTAAGAACCCTAAAAAATCTTTATTTGATAGTTAAAGAACAATGCATAAAAATGCAAGTTTTACATGTAACAGCTATCTTAGACAACCTTTATAGAATTATGAGAATAGATACTAACATTTCAACAGATTGCTTTAATGTCAAACTTCCTAATGAAGATGGGATACTTGTTCAAGAAAATAATGCATATGTTAGTGTAATGTAAAGGAAGTTTAATGCACATAAACAAAACATAAAAGTAGAAATTTCCTACAGACTGGTTAGTTCAAAATATGCTACTCAAAAACTGCTTTTCAAACCTGAACGACATGGCTTGCTTTACTACTTGTTCACCCTATCAAAAAAGAATGTTCTGTCACAAAAATGGATTGTGGACATGTTTACTATTAGAAAATATTTAAAACCCATTTATAATTGACTAGAAAAAGTAATTAAAACAATTCTTAAGAGTAAGGAAAAGGCAGTTGACATTTTAATTATTATACTGTTAAGATTATGAATAGGGAACTTAAATTCTTGAAATGTTATTTCCATTTGTGAGTATGAAAAACAAAAATGTGACGACATGAGGCTATATTGTTATTTAGAGGAAATCACTGTCAAGTTACAGCCTTCATTCAGAGCAATAAAGCACAATAAACAATGAAAACCAATTCCACACTCAACACATATTTTAGTCTCTTCAGGCCCTATAACATTCTTAGGGTTTTCCATTATGTTTCTTCTTAATGGTAACAGATTCTACAACTACAAATAAAACATCAAGAATAAAATATCTGTTTCATTGAATAAGAAAGCTGTTATTTATATGATCTTAGAAAACTCTGAAAGGAATTTGTAAAACTCACTCATAATTTAATCATGTGTCTTAAGTTTTTTATCCCATATATATAAAAGTTTACAGATGAGTTTCATATTCCTTCACAGTTATATGGTCTAGTGCATTTCAGAGTATCTGGGTATTATCAAAGCTGTCCTTTTCCAATGAAAACATTTAAGAAAACATTAAGCACTTCTCAAATAAGTAACATGATGTAGAACTGCTTACTTTTGGATATCACCTTTTTGAAGTACAAATGTATCATTGACCAGAGCAAAACTGTTTGACTATTTTATAGTATCTATTAACAAAAAGTTCTCTATGAGAGAGAGGAAGCTGTAATATCCTGAAGCTATTTCCCAAGAGCTAGTTTAGTAGATAGAACTTTGGGCTCATCTTTATGTTTCCTTCTTCCTAGTTTTTTTTTTTTTTCTCTTTTTTTCTTTTTTTGGTAAAGTTACTTTCAATTATGCACACACTGCACTATCATCGTTCACTGGATTGAGATTAGGTGGGAAGTAGCTGCATATTTTCAGCGACAGCAATGGACCTCTTAGGTCATGACGGTGTTTATAGTTAAATCACATCTAATGTGAAATTTTGAATTACATCCAGGGCTCCGGTATCAAAGCCGCACATATCCAACATGCCTCTATCATCTGGGTCTGCAATGGTAAAACCATTTGATGTCATTCCACAAACAATGAATTTAGCTGGAATATTCATTTTCTGTAGAAAAAATACACAAAAAACACCAAATACATAACAAGTTATATGTAAGGAAAAACAAAAACTTCCAATATTATAACAATTTAAAATTTCTGTACCATATTTTTTACTTAAAAAGCCAATTTATTTTTTTGGGGGGTCATTTTTGCTTCAATCTTTTAGAGTCCAACAATATGAGCTATACAAGAATGTAAAACAAAATTGTGTAAAGAACCTACCTGAATTTCTTTGTTCTACATTTTTGTTTTATGGGTTCCACAGTACATTTTTAAGCAGCCTGGAGACTTTGTAATTATGAAACCTGTTAGGATATTCAGGGGTGCCAAACATTTTTATCAAGATATCAAATGTTGGGTAATATGTGTGAATACACACAAATATAAAGAAAAAGGAAATACATCTTTGGGATTTTTTTATATTTGGTTTGTAGTTTTCATAAATACAATATATACATGTTCTACAAAAGATAAACACACACACACACACATTTTTTTGGGGGGGTTATTGGGGATGGAACCCTGGGGCAATCAACAACTAAGCCACATCCCCAGCCTTTTTTTTGTATTTTATTTAGAGACTGGATCTTGCTTCAGGCCTTGCTAAATTGCTGAGGATGGCTTTGAACTCGAAATGCTCCTACTCAGCCTCCTGAGCTGCTGGGATTACAGGCGTGCATACATAAGATCTTGTTCTCTACTTCTACATTTATGGTTAAAATAATTGAATATTTGAGAAAAACTAATAATCACTGAGTGTCAGACACTACAATGAACTCTTTAAATAAATAATATACCTAATGTAATTGTTGTTCTGACCCTAAAAGGTAAGTACTATTATATATTGTGACATATATCAGTTAAGTAATTTGCTCAGATTCACAGTTTGTGGAAGAGAAAGACTCAGGACTAAGACTTAAGGTTGTATTAAATCTAAGTTCTATTCCTGCTCCTATAATTCTCAAAATTACATGTATCACAATTCCCTGGAAGGCCAGTTCCACCTTCAGAATTTCTGATTAGAGGTGACAGATGGAACCTAGGAATGTGCCTTTCTAATGAGGTCCCAAGTGATGCTAAGGTTGCTTGTAGGGAAACCATACTTTGAGAACTACATCTTCCTTAACAAGTCTATTTCTACTTATAGTCACAAGTCACATTTTAAATGCTAAATAGTCCCATGTGATTAGTGGCTACCATTACTGGAATCTGCAGTTACAGAACATTTATGTCATTTAAGAAAGCTCAGTCAGGTTGCACCGTCTAGAACATAGGTATTTCCATAAAACTTAAGACACAGATTATAGCTTTGTTTAATTTTTTATAGTTGTTCGCAAATACCACAAATGAGACTTTGGTGCTGAAGATCGAACCCAGCACCCCGCGCATGCCAGGCAAGCGCGTTACCGCTTGAGCCACATCCCCAGCCCCACTTTTTATAATTGCAAGTACTGTTGAGTCTATAATTGACACCGGGTCTACACAAAGATTAGAACTACTTTTAGTATTTTTTTTTTTTAAACAATGAAAAAGAATGGATTATTATTCAGATGAGAAACAACAGGATTTGTTTTACCTTTCGATAGTCCTTTAGAGCAATAGCAGGATGGATGCTTCCAGCAAAGGTCTCATTATCAGTGAATACAATGAAGACATCAGCAACTGTGTTTGTCTTCTGAGCCCAAATTATTGGAAGAGAACAATCTGTTCCACCTGCTGGGATCTAACCCAGAAAAAAAACCCCAAAAAACAAAAAACATGTATTAGAATAAAATTACCCTAGTGTCCATAAATGAGATGTCTGAAAAAATTACTTAAAAATACAATTTTCATGTTATTTTATTTACAGCCTATATATATATATGTATGTATGTATATATACATACATATATATATAAAATATATACCTTCCCTAATAAGACCATAGTTTTTTTTTTAAATTTTGTACTTCTCATGAGAAAACAATTTGTTCTTACAGATATACAGCATGCAAGATGTCAATATAAAATTATTGTATAATACATATTAAGTAGTATTTTTTGTTTTGTTTTGTTACTAGGGATTGAACCTAGAGGCACTTAACAAATGGGCAACATCTCCTGCCCTTTTTATTTTGATACAGGGTCTAGCTAAGTTGCTTAGGGCCTCGCTCATTACTGAGGCTGGCTTTGAATTTGCAATCCTCCTGCCTCAGCCTCCCAAATTGCTGGGATTATAGATGTGCGCCACCAAGCCCAAGTACTTTTTTTTCATGTTAAATAAACTTAATAAAATTTTCTTACCTGATTCATAGCTATTAAAACCTGTTGTAAGGTCATGTCTGTAGTTATGGGGCATGGTACCATTTCATGTGAAAAAGCAACTATAGAAGAATCCTTTTCTGTTCGTGTAACAACCTGAAAATTCAATAGTAGTAATTTTCAGCAGATTGGGGGGGGGGAAGTATAGTATTGAAGTTTATACAACTTCATTATAAACAAACAAACAACACTATGATGCTTGTTTTATTTCTAAACTTATACTACCGTGCAACAATAAAGTAATAAGTGAATGGTAATATAGTTTACATGAACTTACAAAGAAGCTGTTTTTTTTTTTTTTTTTTAAAAAGCCACTTTTCACAATAATCCTTTGAAGCAAATAAAGACTATATTCTCATTTTATTAAATTAGGAATAAATTCACAGTAATGAAAAAAAAAACCCTGAAAACAAACACTCCCAAATAATTTTCCTGGCTCTATGTTTTCTGATATCTTTGTCATCAATATTTTTAAACATATTTATTTTTTATTTTAGCTCTATATGGACAGATTTTTATTTTTATTTTTTAATATGCTGCTGAGAATCGTGTGTGCCTCACATGTGCTAGGCAAGCTCTCTACCATTGAGCCACAACCTCAGCCCTTTGTCATTAATTTTTACGCATTATCTACTTCCTCAAAAATACTATTAATATTTATTATTGTTAATTTAAAATTTCAATTCTGACTATTCCTTAGAAATAATTTTCAATATACTTAAAACTTCTTTACAAAATTCTTTAAATATAAAATGAAGTGAAAAAGACTGTTGATATATCTCCCTTTATAACTTAACCCTTTAGTAAACCATTTCTTAGAGGAGCAAACACTCTATTTTATGTGTTCTCACCATGCACATTGCTGCAGCAACAGTACTAGCATTGAGTACACTACCCAAAACTCTTTGGTTCATAGAAGCACTGACGTCAACAGCCAGCAAGAAACGCTTTCCAGTTGGCTCAACTGTCTAAAGAGAAAACAAAACAATCATTAAAAGAAGTCTCAGAAACTGTAAAATAAGAATTTTATTTCCTTACTTTTCATTCAAAAGATTCTCTATTTTTTTTTTTTTTTTTTTTTTTTTGTACCAGGGAATTGAACTCAGGGGTATTTAACTACTGAGCCACATCCCCAGTCCTATTTTGTATTTTATTTAGAGACAGGGTCTCACTGAGTTGCTTAGTGCCTTGCTTTTTACTTAGGTTGGCTTTGAACTCTCATTCCTCCTGCCTCAGCTTCTCTAGCTGCTTGGATTACAGGCATGTGCCACTGGGCCTGGCTTTTTTTTTTTTTTTTTTAATATATGTATTTTTAGTTGTTGATGGACCTGTATTTATTTATTTGTATGTGGTGCTGAGGCGAAACCCAGTGCCTCACACATGCTAGACAAGCACTCTGCCACTGAGCCACAACCCCAGCCAACCTTCTAATTTTTGACACACCAATCAAGACAACTATTCAAAACTGATTAGCTTGTCAAATTAGTGGTGCACACCTATATTACAGTGACTCGGGAGGCTGTGGTGGGAGGATCCTATGTTCCAGGCCAGTCTCTGCAATATAGTGAGATCTTGTCTCAAAAACTAAAAAGAGGGGAACTAGGGATGTAACTCCCTGGGTTCAATCCCCAGCACTACAAAAACCAAAACCAAAACCAAACCAAGACAAAACAAAACAAAAAACCAACCCCCCCCCCCCAAAAAAAAAAAAAACCAAACCAAACCAAACCAAACCAAAAAAGCTTATTAGCTCATAGTTCAGTTCAGGTCAAACAAAGGAAATATGAAAATCTAAAAATCGAATAATTTAATTGAAAGAAGTTACTATGCTATTTTTTTTTTTAAATTTTCATCTTTAAGGCAAAATAGGAACTTCTAGGAAGAAATCTTTCATTGTGGTAAAATGTAGGTAAAGAAGTGGCCAGACACCAGGCACAGACGCCCACACTTGTGTACAATTTTAAACATTCTTTTTGTTTTTTAAAAGAGAGTAATGTGTTTTATTATATACTTTTTAGTTGTTGATGGACTCTTATTTGTTTATATGTGGTGCTGAGAATTGAACCCAGTGGCTCACACATACTAGGCAAGTTCTCTACCAATGAGCTACAACCCTAGCCCAATTCTACACTACATTCGTAAATGTAGAATACAGTGGCATTAAGTACATTCACAATGTTGTATAACCATTATTTTTATTTTAAGAACTTTTTCATTATCCTAAATGGAAACTTTATCATCAGTCCCAACTTGCCCTAGTATCTGTGTTATAGGCAGATTCTTTTTCATTTGTTTTTGGGTATTGGGGATAGATTGAACCCAGCCGAGCTTTACCAGGGAACTACATAACTAGTCCTTTTTATTTTTTGAGACAGGGTATAGCTAAGGTTGGCCTTCAATCTGTGATCCTCCTAATTTAAGCCTTCTGAGTTGCTGGGATTGCGGGTGTGTGCTACTAGGCCAAGCATCTGGCCACTTCTATACTATTTTTTAATCTCTAAAAATTTGCCTATTCAGGCTGGGTGTAGTGGCACACACCTGTAATTCCAGTGGTTCAGGAGGCTAAGACAGGAGGATTGCGAATTCAAAGCCAGTCTCAGCAAAAGCGAGGCACTAAGCAACTCAGTGAGACCCTGTCTCTAAATAAAATACAAGATAGGGCTGGGGATGTGACTCAGTGATCGAGTGCCCCCTGCGTTCAACTCCGAAACCAAAAACAAAAAACCCCCAAATTGACTATTCAGGATATATCATATAATGCAATCATATAATACTTGCTCTTTTATGTCTGGCTTGTTTCACTTAGCATAAAGTTTTCAAGGTTCATCCATGTTATAGTATTTATCAAATTTCACTGCTTTAAGGCTAAATCATATTCTATTCTATTCTATGTGTATAAAACGCTTAATCTGTTAATCTTTTGATGAATACTTGGGTTGTTTTGTCTTATGGCTGTAGTGAATAATGCTGCTATAAATACTGCTATACAAATATCTGTTTTGAGTACCTGTTCTAATTACTTAGAGCATATGCATAGGGGTAGAACTGCTAAATGGAACGGTAACTTTATGTTTTAACTTTTTGAGCCCTTGTTTTTCCTAGGGGCTGCAACATTTTATATTCTCATTAGTAATACAACCAAGTTTTGATTTCTCCACATTCTTTCCAATATTTATTTTATGCTTTTTAATACTACTGGTCCAATTAAGTGTAAAATGTACATCACTGTGGTTTCATTTGCATTTCCCTGTTGACTAATGAAGATGAGTATATTTTCATGTTCTTATTGGTCATTTAGAAATCTTTGGAAAAAAGTACTTTGCCCACTTTTAAATTGAATTATTTGTATTTTGCTGTTGGATTTAGGAATTCTTTTTACACATGGACAGTAAACCCTTAACAAATAGATGATTTGCAAGTATTTTCTTCCATAGTATAGGTTACTTTTTCATTCTTTTTCTTTTTCCTTGATGGGGATGGAACCCATGAATTCACACCTACTAGAGAAGTACTCTACCACTGAGCCACAACTATGGTTATTTTTAGCTCTTAAATGGTCACTGATCCACTGTACTATTTTTTATAGTGTAAGGAGCCAGCCTGACTTCATTCTTATGCACATGAATATGTAGTTTTTCTAGCACCATTTGTTGAAGACTGCCTTTCTCCATTGAAATATCTCAAAATTCTTCTTAAAAAAAAATCAACTGACCATATGTCAGGGTTTATTTCTGAATTCAGAGTATTTTGATTACTGTAGTTTTGTAATAAGTTTTGAAATACAGAAGTGTGAGTCCTCCAACTTACTTCTTTCAAAGATTGTTTTGGCTACCTGGGGTCACTTGAAATTTCATATGAATTTTATAGTGGGTTTTTCTATTTCTGCAAAACATGACATTGGGATTTGAAAGAGATTGTATTGCACCTGTAGATTGCTTTGGATAGCACTGTGATCTTAAGCGTTCCAAACTAGAAACATGGATGTCTTTCCATTTGTCATCTTGAGTTTTATTAACAATGTTTTGCAGTTTTCAGTATGTGATTCTTGCATCTCCTTATATTTATTCCTATCTTTTGTTGTTTTTTTTTTGATGATACTGTAAATGAAAAATTTTCTAAATTTCCTTTTCATTGTCATTGCTACTAGATAGATACAACTGATTATAACAAGTTAATGTCACATCCTGTAACTTTATGTTAGAGTTTGCTTGTTTTATAGTTTGTTTTGTGTGTGGTGTGTGGATTCTCTAGAGTTTTGTACAATGTAAGATCATGGCATCAGAGGACAGGGATAATTTTACTTCTTCCTTTCCAATTTGGAATTTTAAAAATTACTTTTCTAATTGATAGAATTTCTAATACTACATGGAATTGAAATGGAAAAAGTAGACATCTTTGACCTACACCTTATCTCAGAGAAAAGTTATCAATCTTTCACCTTTCACAGTAGGATGTTAGTTTTTTTTTGATACTGGGTATTGAAACCAGGGGAACTTTACCATTAAGCTATATTCCCAGTCCTTTTTATTTTTTGAGACAGGGTCTCACTAAGTTGCTTAGAGCCTTGCTAAGTTGCTTAGGTTGGCCTCAATCTTGTGATCCTCCTGCCCGAGTTTCCAACATTACAGGTGTGTGCCACAACGCCCAGCTGTCAGCAGTTGCCTATAGGAACTGAGCGCCCCTTAGCTTTGAGCGATGAGAATGTGGAGATGTGGCAAGCCAGCCATGGGCTGTGTGTGTGTGAACTATGAGTACTGAGAACACATTGTGGACTGAACCGATGTTGTCCCCGTTTGGGCAGGTGATGTACTCTGGCTTGCTCTGCCTATGATCCCCACACAGCACATGAGATGGGCATGGCATTCCTAGATGTCAGTCAACCTGTTGACAGCAAGATATCACTAATCCCCTGAAACATGACCCCTTGAAGTCATCTGAATGACTTCTCCCCAATAAAAGTGTTCAGCACATGCTTCGTGCTCTCTTTCTTTTCTGCCTTGTCCCCCTTGTGGGAGCTATGGCTGAGGAGTGGCCACTAACTCAAAGAAAAGGTACTTTCTATAAGTTTTTATTTAGTCCCCAAATTCACCTGGAGTGACCCTGACCGATCTAGTCACGTGTCGCAACACCTAGCTATGTTTTATTAAAGTTCACTTGTATCCCTTATTTATTTATTAACTGTTTTTCTTTTTAAAATTATGAAATAAGTCAGGCATGGGGGTGTATGCCTGTAAACCCAGTGGCTCAGGAGGGTGAGGTGCAAGAGTGAGGCAGGAGGATCACAAGTTCAAAGATAGTCTTAGCAAAACAGCAATGCCCTAAGTAACTCAATAAGACCTTGTCTTAAAAAAAAAAAAAAAAAGGGACTAGGAATGTGGTTCACTGGTTAAGTACCCTGGGGTTCAATCCCCGGTACCAAAAAAAAAAATCATGAAATGATGTTAAGTTTTGTCAAGTGCTTCACCCTCACTCTCCAATTTAGATGAGCATGTGTTTCTGTCCCTTTATTCTACTAATGTGATACATTACATTGACTCGTTTTTATATGTTGAATCATCCTTGCACATCAGGGATAAATATCACTTGGCAATGGTGTATAACCCTTCAAATTTGCTAATGAATTTGCATGTTATTTGTTGCATATCAAGAAAACTTTAAAACCCAAAAATTTTAACTTATTATTCTGTTATGGGATTTCCATTCTGAAAAACTCACTTGCTATCAAGACTGATAAAATTCATCTACCAATTAATGGAAAAAACAGGGGAGAGAGAACCAAGTCATAGAAACCTACAAGAATGCAAACTTTAACATTTAATAATTTATCAAAATGATCAAAATCATCTTAGTATAGTAGTTGCTAACCAAAGATAATAGAAAATACTTTACTTATAAACTTATGATGTTATTGCCAGTCACAGTGGTGCATACTTGTGATTAATAGCAACTTGGGAGGCTGCGGTGGGAGGATCACAAATTCAAAGCCAGGCCAGGAACTTAGTGAAACCCTGTCTTGAAATAAAATATAAAAAGGACTGGGGATGTGGCTCAGTGGTAAAGCTCTTCTGAGTTCACTCCCCAAAACACTCCATTGTGTATACACAATGGAGTATTACTCAGCACTAAAAAATGACAAAATCATAGCATTTGCAGGGAAATGGATGGCATTAGAGCAGATTATGCTAAGTGAAGCTAGCCAATCCCTAAAAACCAAATGCAAATGTCTTCTTTGATATAAGGAGAGCAACTAAGAACAGAGCAGGGAGGAAGAGCATGAGAAAAAGATTAACATTAAACAGGGACGAGAGGTGGGAGGGAAAGGGAGAGAGAAGGGAAATTGCATGGAAATGGAAGGAGACCCTCATTGTTATACAAAATTACATATAAGAGGAAGTGAGGGGAAAGGGAAAAAAAAACAAAGGAGAGAAATGAATTATAGTAGATGGGGTAGAGAGAGAAGATGGGAGGGGAGAGGAGGGGAGGGAGGATAGTAGAGGATAGGAAAGGCAGCAGAATACAACAGACACTAGTATGGCAGTATGTAAAAATGTGGATGTGTAACTGATGTGATTCTGCAATCTGTATATGGGGTAAAAATGGGAGTTCATAACCCACTTGAATCAAATGTATGAAATATGATATGTCAAGAGCTTTGTAATGTTTTGAACAACCAATAATAAAAAAAAATCCTCAAAACAAAAAACAAAAAACTTACATTGTTATTTATATACCCACTTCACATAGATTAATGAAGAACAAATGAATATATACTCTAAACTTACAACTATTCAAACTACCTTTAAAATGCTTTTACAAAAAATGTTAATTCCCAAGTCATTTTTAAAAAAACAAACGTCAAACCTTAAATGTTTTATAAAAAGCAGCATCTAATGCTTTTAATATTTCTTCATCAGGGCGCCACTTCAGTTTTCCTCTGAGTCCATGACCTGTTTTATAAGTTTCTAGTGCAACTAAAACATGAAATGGATGTATTCGAGCCTAGAAACAAGACAAAGATAGAAAGTAAAAGCAAAATTCAAGTTAAAAAATAGTAATTATGTATCTTCATTACATGGTGTGCTACTATAGCTAAGAAATACATTTTATAAAGAAAAGAGAAAAAATGAGGATTTTTAACCTTAGAATTCTGAGTCAGAATGTAATCTGGTATATTGGGGCTGGGGTTATAGCTCAGTGGTAGAGTGCTTGCCTATCATATGTGATGCACTGGGTTTAATCCTCAGCACCACATAAAATTGAATAAATAAAATAAAGGTATTGTGTCCACCTACAACTAAAAATACATATATTTTTAATATTTTTTAAGTTGTAGATGGACACAATGTTTTTGTTTTATTTATTTATTTTTATGTGATGCTGAGGATCGAACCCAGGGCCTCAACACTTGCTAGGCAAGTGCTCTACCACTGAGTTACAGCCCCAGCCCCTAAAAATATATTTTTAAAAATGTAATCTGCTATAAAAGTCTCAGAACACTTAAAATATGCACTAACTACATTTTCAAAATTTAGAAGCCAACTTTTTCAGTTAGTAGATTAAAAAAAAAAAAGACGCATGATAATACTTACCTTTTTCAACAGTTTTTCATTACATAGTTTTTCACATACTAAAGATACTTCTGAATTTCCTGGCTCAAGCACTGAATTAGCAGTCATCTTTCCTAGATTCCTTAGCAATGCAGTAAGAGGCATTTCTTGTAACAAAGCCTTCCATACCTATAGAAAGGAATGTAAAGAATCAAGGAGAAATGAATGAGTATAACACAGGTATATCAATGATAGTTTATTCTCCAAGGCTTTTATTTAGATTTCAAAGTACTTTCAGAATGAGAATTTGTCTTAAGGCTAATCAAATAAGCTTAACTTACTCTTACTAGAATAAGAAAGTATGTATTTTATGAAGAAAATACAAAGATGATTTTTAAAAATTAGGCAGGATATGGTGTGGAGTGGATCTGACACAAAATGCCAATTGGACATCAGTATTAGATGTTTTAAATTAACATTATTTTCAAGATATTTTTTAGTTAATTTCTGTCTCTCTTTTTGCAAGATTGGGGATTGAATCAGGGCCTTTTACATATAATATTTCCTTTTAAAATAATTAATTTACTCACCTCTTTAGATTTTAAGTGATTCGTTAGAAGATGTTCCCTAACTAATCTATGTTCTTCTATTAGATGAATGACTTCCAGTTCATCTTTTGTGCGCTTCACTTTCTCTACAGCCTCCAGATACTTTAATAATTTTTCAGTTTCCACAGTAAGTGCTTTTTCTTTATACAATTCATGGACCTCCTTCCAGCCCTTTGTAATATATTTGGTCACAATGGCAAGTCCTTTAATAAGATAAAGAATTAAAAAGGCAGGCAGGATTACCAAGTGAAAAATAGAACATGTTTCTGGAGAATGCAGCATATGATAGGCTTAACTCCCCTCAAGTAAGATGCAGTTTTCTTCACTATCACATACATATTTAAGCAAATGGAGCAAACTGACTTCGCGAATTTCATCATTACTGTTTAAATATGAGACTTCTGGGGAAAGAAAACATCTATATCCTAAATAATTTATAGAGGCTTGTTCCCCAGCCTGCCCCACAATACCAGCATTACAAACTGTAGGCAGTGCCTATTTCAGGTTCACAATCTCAGAACAATTCACAAGAATATAGATCTATGTCAATTAATAGTTATTTGTCCTTCTCTGCTTCTGAATCAATATGCTTTTCTGAATAGTAGAAATTAAGTGGAAATGGACAGGTAGGTAGGTAGGTTCTTTTAAAACTGTCTTTAAAAAACAAATTAAAGCACATATATATAAACAATACATATTTCAGTTAGGACATTACAGGACAAATTAAGAAAAAAGAAAAATAGTTTTCTCATTCCTTCTGTAATTTCTTCTAATAGTAGAAAGAGCTTTGTGGGTGAAGAAATAAATATTGATCTTTCTAGGTCTTAGTTTTCACATCTGTTAAAAAGGGGGGAATTCATTTACTAAATTTAAACGTCTATGAGGCAAAGTCAGACAAAGTAAGGAAATAAAACAGCCTATGGTGATGTCAAAGTCATTAGGACTGTGATGAACTGAGGAGAGCATATATTGACATGTGTTAGCCAAGTACTGCTTTAGTACTATCAAAAATTTACTTTCAAGAAGTCAGAATATGGACTTTTATGAAGTCTTCTGACTTCCATTTTTTCCTTAAAATATTTTATTGGTCAAATTAAACACAGCTAAGCAAGAATAAGCCTATGTGCTATTTTTTTGAACTCTAAACAATATGAGCAAAAGTTTGTACCAATATACAGGAACTTCTAAGGTATTGTGAATCTTTTATCTTCCAGATTTTTGTTTATGGATTGAACCCAGAGGGTGCTTAACCACTAAGCCACATCCCCAGCCCTTTTTTTTTCATATTTTATTTTGAGACAGGGTCTCCCTGAGTTGCTTAAGGCCCCACTAAGTTGCTGAGCTTTGAACTCAAGATCCTCCTCCCTCCGCCTCCCAAGCTGCTGGGATTACAAGGTGTGCAATATTGAGCCTGGCTTTATCTTCCAGATTTTGTAATGATATATTAAACGATTAAATGTTTTATGCAAGCATGTCTTCTACATTGTCTTACCAAGGAAAATAATTTATTTTTTTTAAATTATTTTTTTTTTTTGAGAGAGAGAGAGAGAGAGAGAGGGAGAGAGAGAATTTTAATATTTATTTTTTAGTTCTTGGCGGACACAACATCTTTGTCTGTATGTGGTGCTGAGGATCAAACCTGGGCCGCACACATGCCAGGCGAGCGCGCTACGGCTTGAGCCACATTCCCAGCCCCGGAAAATAATTTATTAAAGCAATCTTATCCTACTCAGTTCTGTAATTACACTAGCCTGCAGGTACATAATACCCAATAAATGAATCACACTTTGATTTCAGTTAGCACATTAACATATTACTTATTTGGTAGCTTATAGTTGCCTATCTCCCTTATACTAAACAAAGATTTAAGTGCTAAAAAAACAAAGCAGCATAACTGGAAAAAATCACAGGTAAATACTTACTTACATGACCTTAGAAAAAGCCTTTCTAAACCTAACATAAAACAAAAACCTGTGAAGGTACAAGTTTGACTACATTAAAATCCCCAACTTCAATGTGCCAGAAGCACGCCTGCTTATGTATGCATGTGGGCACATACACACACAAAAAGACAAAGAAAAAAATGGGGAGGGGGTTTGCATGAATGTGTATCATAATAAATCACTAACTCCTATAATACATATTCCAAGTACTTAGAACAATGTCCATCAACAATAGGTACTCAATATTTGTTGAATGAATGAATGGTGATAATAATCAACATCAAAAAGAATAAATATGTTGAAGCACGGGAGGGGAACTAATAATGTACTTCTACTACATACCAGAAAATATGTATGCTAAGTAAGTATTCTAAGATGCATTATTATGTTTAGTTACAATAATTGTAAATGTTATCCTTCTCCCTTTTCTAATAGAGGAAGGCACAAAAACTCAGAAAGATGAATTTACTTGGCTTAAGTATACAAAGTACAAAGCAGAAATAAAATTTGAGAGGCTATATTTTCAAGTTTCATTTCTGATAAGAAAAAAAAGTCAAATTTTAGACATGCTGATTTTTGCAGAAGTTCATATTTTAAATTATTTCTTCCAAGAAGTTTTTATATTCTTCCTAAGAGAGACTGATAATTATTTTAGATACAACTAACTTCAAGTCTTTTCCCATAGGTTTAGAAAAAAGTACCCAAGTTACCCTGTGAAAGCTATGGACAATTAACACCCTACATTGTTAAACTGTGCACTATTTTAAGTAGCCTTTAGGTTCCTTGGCAAAAATGTTCTAGAGAGATGGGGATGAGGGGTGTCTACAGCAGTACAATTTTGTTATCTGCCATCTAACAAGCTGATGTTTGCTTATTACAACTTTAGTCCATACTCCATTCATAGCCCACACTCACTTGGGTAAACACTTGAGCTAGCATGGTGACATTTTAAGATTTAGATGTTAATTTGTAAAATTGTTATATGATTCTTGATTATCAATGTCTGGATTGCCTATGATTAGTTGTTAGGTGTTTAGTTCCAGGTTGGCATTAAATATTTTAATTAGTCAATCAATCTGTCTCAAAAAGGCTAATTCTTGGAAATAATTACATAATGTCAAATAAAAATTCACTATTTATTCTACAATCCATTCCCCCATACCCCATGAACATCTTATGCTTACCTTCACTGGAAGGCTTAAGATGTGACAGTCTTAACAGATCTTTGTGAGACCAGCCATTTCTTTGTTTATATTTTGTAACTGCTAGAGCAAGGGCCATGCCTCCTTTTTCATTGTACCAGTCTGCAATAGCCTTCCGGAGAGCTCGACCCCACATACCACATTTCATGCTTTCCTTCAGATCTTTCTTAAATTGGATAAAAGTAAAGAGATGTGTAGGAATACGACAAACTTCAGAAACAGCTTTAAATGCTGCTTGTTTTGTGCTTATGTCAGAACACTGGGAACAAATAGCAAGTGCAAAGAGCAAAGGCTCTTGCTTTATGGTTCTGCCTTCTTGACTAAACGACTTTATTTCTTGTATCACTTCATAACCTTTGCCATCTTCAATCAATCTAATTAAAGCTTCAGCATTTTCAAGGCCCAGCTTCTGTTCTTTGATATAGTAAGTCCCACCTTCAGAACCAAAACATAAGAACCGATGCAGTCTATTCATGTCAGTGACTTGCCATACATATCCATCTTCAGAATTGGCTACTTGCTTTTCATTCAGTGGCTGCATTTGATTTAGAGCTTCCTCCATTTTTCCTTTTAGGAAACCTATGAAAAAAGCAAAATGTTATTATAACTAGATGTGCAAAATAAAATCATATAAAGGAAAACAATATTAATATTCACATACCGAAGTTACTGGAATCTGTTACAAATATAATTAAAAAATATCTTTAAAGCCAAGTTTTTCTTTTAATATAAAATCAATATAGGGGCTGGGGATGTGGCTCAAGCGGTAGCGCACTCGCCTGTCATGCGTGCGGCCCGGGTTCGATCCTCAGCACCACATACAAACAAAGATGTTGTGTCCACCGAGAACTAAAAAAATAAATAAATATTAAAAAAAAAAAAAAAAAAAAATCAATATAGATACCCTTAAGAAAAATTAGAAAAAGGAAAAAATGAAAGGAAAAGAAAAGCCCTATGTGACCACCAAAAATGACCTCTAAAAGACTTAAGTTTTTAAAATGTTCTTGCTTTGTATTTATATTTTTATAAACCAGGGAAATTCAAATACTTCAAAACAAACTAGATTATAGCCACGGTGATATGATAATTAGCAGCTACAACTAAAGAATCATATTTCTGAGGTACAGTGTATTGTCTGTGAGATGAAACAACTAGAAAATCTAATGGCAGTACAGTGGTTATAAGAAATAGATTTATTATAGTGAGATAGGAGGGTATTCAGTGAGGAACAGAATCCACAGATAGACTACTCTAAAAGAAGCATAGGTATAAATGATGAAAGCATAGGTATAAAAGACTGAAATCTATCCTCAGAACACTTTGAATGGAACCACCATTTGACCCAGCTATTCCTCTCCTCGGTCTATACCCAAAGGACTTAAAATCAGCATACTACAGGGGCACAGCCACATGACGTTTATAGCAGCACAATTCACAATAGCTAAACTGTGGAACCAACCTAGATGCCCTTCAATAGATGAATGGATTAAAAAAATGTGGCATATATACACAATGGAATATTACTCAGCAATAAAAGAGAATAAAATCATGGCATTTACAGGTAAATGGATGGAGTTAGAGAAGATAATGCTAAGTGAAGTTAGCTAATCCCAAAAAATCAAATGCCAAATGTTTTCTTTGATATAAGGAGGCTGATTCACAGTGGGATAGGGATCGGGAGCATGGGAAGAATAGATGAACTCTAGATAGGGCAGAGGGGTTGGAGGGGAAGGGAGGGGGCATGGGATAATTAATGATTGTGGAATGTGATGATAATTACTATCCAAAGTACATGTATGAAGACATGAGTTGGTGTGAATATACCATGTATACAACCAGAGATATGAAAAATTGTCCTCTCTCTCTATAATATGAATTGTAATGCATTCTGCTATCATATATAAATAAAAAAATTACATAAAAAAATCAGCATACTACAATGATGCAGTCCCATCAATGTTTACAGCAGCTCAACTCACGATAACTAAACTATGGAACCAACCTAGGTACCCTTCAACACATGAATGGATAAAGAAAACATGGCATATACACACAGTGGAATATTACTCAGCCTTAAAGAATGAAATAATGGCATTTGCTGATAAATGGATGGATATCATGCTAAGCGAAATAAGCCAATTCCCAAAAAACAAAGGCTGAATGTTTTCTCTGATATGAGGATGCTAATTCACAATGGGGGGCAGGTACTTGGGAAGAATAGAGGTACTCTGGATTGGACAGAGGTGAGTGAAGGGGGCATGAGAGTAGGAACGAGAGTAGAATGAATCAGACATTATGTGCCTATTTGATTACACAACTGGTATGATTCTACTTCATGTACAACCAAGAATGAGAAGTTATACTCCATTTATGAATGTCAAAATGCATTCTATGGTCATGTATAACTAATTAGAACAAAAAATTTAAAAAAGGACTGGAATCTAGAGGAAAACCTTAAATTTTTTTTTTAGTTGTAGACAGACACAATATTTTTATTTTTATGTGGTGCTGAGGATCAAATTCAGTGCCTCATATTTGCAAGGCAAGAGCTCTACCACTAAGCTACAGCCCCATCCCAGAAAAATCTTTTTTTTTTTTTTAATCTTCAATGGGAGGGCACTGAGGTTAAGACTGAAAGAGTCAATTGGAAAGTTGAAAATACAGTAAAGAAAGGGTATTATGGAAAGAGTGATATTCCCGAAAGCAGACATATAACTTTAGAACATCTAGGTCGAACTGGCCTACTCATGGCAAGAGATAGCTGTGAAGATTACCCATAAAGTGATTTGAGACAGATGGAGGTATAAAGAAATAAGAGGAAGTTCCCATCTGACAGAATATGTAGAGTTCTATGGGAAGCTACCCATTAATTACTTGAGGGTCTTTATCAGGTATAGCAGCCAGAGAGGTTTAGGTTTGGCATTGTGAACTATTTGTGGCTCCTCCCATTCAATAAATTGCCCAATGCACATGACCTTTATTTCTGCTCTACTAGGAAGATCCCTCACAGAAGCTCCAGACATGGGTGTAATCCCTTGGGAATTGAACAGGCCACCTTTTTTTTGGGCAAAGAGTATTCCATGGAAAACCTTTGATGTTCCTGATATAAATAAAGCAAGCCCGGGCTCCATTTTGCTCTTTTTAGTGTGGAAGCGCGATCCGTGTGATCGGCTAGCCCGTCCTGCTCCTGCTTTTTAAAAAATATTTCCTATGTCCTATAGTTTTTTCCTTGTTCTACTTTTCTTAGCCTTTATTCTGCTGTCAGCCCATCCTACCGAGAGGAACCCCATTTCCACAGTCCACATGGGACGTGGGTGGAAGAGTTCCAAATGGTATGTGGGGCAGTTTGGTGTCTAGGGGAAGAATGAAAAGACTGGGTCTGCAATGGGAACATATGATGTGGGAACAAGTGCATGAGAGATGGAGCTCTTCAGATTTTTAATGTGACTAAGGGGGCAGTTTTATTGAGTCATGTTCAAAACACCAGTGTCAATATTCCAAATAAAACTGGTACAAATATACTTATGTCAATGAAGGTTAGGTTTCAGGTATTATATGAGCATATCAGTCATTAGGGACTGATTTAAAGTACTGATTATAGGCTGAAACTCCTGGTGTAGTTCATGTTTCTTTTTATTCTCACTCCCTTTTTAATTTGCCTTTCAATCCAAAAAACTTTAAGAAGACTAACAGCCTTCTCAAACACTGATAACTTAATTGACAATTCCAGTAGATCTTTACAATGCATTTGTTAATACTGATCTCTCATACACACACACACACACACACACACATTTTGGTACTGGGAATTGAACTCAGGGACACTCAACTACTGAGCCACATCCCCAGCCCTATTTTGTAGACAGGGTCTCACTGAGTTGCTAAGCGCCTCACTGTTGCTGAGGCTGGCTTTGAACTTGGGATCCTCCTGACTCACCTTGGGATTACAGGTGTGCACCACCACTCCTGGTTTTTAAACATATTTAATATTAAGTATTCAGGTATCATTTGTAGAACAAGCAGCAAAATAAACATTTAAGTCAAAAAAGGATGTCTACAAAAGAGGTAATCTCTAAAATATAACCCTTATAGTCATTACTATAAATTTAAATAAAAATTATGGGAGGCCATAGTCTTGTTCTGAGCACCTAGGTTTTAATAGATCAGAACAAAACAAAATGGAGTCATTCATGCTAAATACCACATAATCAAACTGAAAATTTAAAGAAGCCGATAGATCTCAAAACAGACAAAATTTTCCCGAAAACAGGAGATTCTAGTTCATCTGAATCAGCAAGGTAGTATCTCTTTAACCCTTACAAAAAAGCAATCTGAAGTAACCTGACGTTTACCAGTGTATGGTTTACATATGACATGTCCCCCCCAGGGATAATGTATCAAAAATGTAAGAATATTTAGAGGTGAAATGATTCATTTATGAAAGTCTTAACCTAATCAACGCATTAATTCCCTAATAGGAATTAACTGGGTGGTAACTCTAGGCAGGTGGGTGTGGCCAGAGGACATAGGTCATTGGGAGCATACCTTTAGGGTATATATTTTGTTCTGGTAAGCAGAGGTCTCTGCTTGCTGTGCAACCTTCTGAGCTGCTTTTCTCCACCACATCCTTCTGCCATGATGTTCTGCCTCACTCCAGGCCCAGAGGTAATGAGTTGGCTGTCTATGGACTGAGACCTCTGAAACTGTGAGGGCCAAATAAATTTTTCTTTCTACAAATGTTCTTGTCAGATCTTTTGGTCACAGCAGGGAAAAACAATCAGGTGCAGTTGTGAACACCTGCAATGTCAGCAACTCAGGAGCCTCAGGCAGGAGGACCACAAATTCAAAACCAGCCTTAGCAACTTAATGAGTCTCTGTCTCAAAAGAGGACTGGGGGGCTGGGGATGTGGCTCAAGCGGTAGCGCGCTTGCCTGGCATGCGTGCGGCCCGGGTTCGATCCTCAGCACCACATAAAACAAAGATGTTGTGTCCGCCGAAAACGAAAAATAAATAAATAAATAAATATTTAAAAAAAAAAAAAAAAAAAAAAAGGACTGGGGATGTGACTCAGTGGTGTTAAGTACCTCTGGGTTCAATCCCTGGTACCAAAAGAACCCCCTCCCCCAAACAAACAAACAAACAAACAAGAAAAAGCCTCTCCACTATTGTGTTAATGCCTAGTGGGACCAATCTATTTTGTAGAATAAGGTGTTGTCCAATTCTAGAATTAGTCCATTTTATGCTTTGAACATAGCCTTTGCTGCTCTGCCAGTGCAATTTATTTTAAAACAGACAAGTTTCTTTCTCTTCCTCTTCCCTTTCCTAATCACAGGGGAAATAGGGTCATCTTTCTCCCCCATCGTAGTCAGAGAACTAAACAACTCAGACTTCAGGGATGGCACCAGAAGATCTCAGCAACAACCATCTCCCAAATTAACAAGTGAATTACAACTCCTGACAAGAGATCACATGAAATGTAGCCTTTGAATCACCTCTTTTAACACCCTCCCCCTCCCCAGGATGGGCAGAATTACAGCCTCTGGGACTGGAGTCCTCGGTTTCTCCTTTGCTAGCAAAGC